GTCTATTAGGTGTAATTTCAATCCTATCTGCTATGTCATTCTTCATTTTTCTTCAGTTTTTGAAATTTACTCTTATCATTTAAAAGGACCTTCATTCTGTTTAAATAGTTGTTTTTATCCATGAATACTGCACTATAATCTTTGTCTAGTTTCGTCAATAATAAATTGTCATCAGTTCTAAGTTTCCTTAAAAGTTTCTTAAGTTTATTCATCCAAATCTCTTTCAAATTAGGTTCACTAGTGTTGATTTAAAACTTCTGACATTATCTTGTAGTGAGTTCGTATGTTGAAGTTACCAATTTTGCTTCGCGTTCGTAAGTCGGGATCGCCAATTATGTAGTGGCGTGCCTCGTTAATTGTTCACCTCGATAACCGTTATTATACCAATCTTAATGGTGTATAGAATCAGAAGACAAAAGGAAGTGGCAACTACATTTTTATCAACAATGACGTAGGCTTCACGCTCGCTCGTCGATATTCGCTCAGTTAGCTTTCTGGCCTGAGTTATTTGACAATAAACTGTAGTTGCTGCTTTCCCTTGTCTTCTGGTTCTATGCACCGTTAAGATTTGCATAATAACGGTTATCAAGGTGAACTATTAACGAAGCATGGCACTACAATCTTACAGTTATAAAACCTATTATCTGGTGATAACGTTTCTAGATCAGTTTTATCGAGTTGAACACTGGAAAAATTGTGTACTTACTGACTTGGACTATGCTTTAACTGACTGATTGACTATTTTTGTATGTTTTTCTTATTTTCATCATGAAGTTTTGTTCTCTGAGCTGGATGGTTTGGTCGGAAAGCCCCCGAAGTTTGTGCTGATGATGTCGTTCACTAGAACAATGAAAGCTTCACGACTGAATCATTCAGCTCAGAGCACAAAACTCCATCAAAACCATCCACCTGAGCTATAAATCTTCTCCACCATCCTTTTTTATCATAAGTGTTATCATAATGTCGCCGGAGTAGCTCAGTTCGGAGAGCGTTAGACTGAAGATTTAAATGTCTACGGTTCGATCCCGGGTTCCGGCAGGCGACTGGCTGTTATGATCATAATAAATTTAGTGGCGTCTTTTTTGAGTATTTATTACCAGTTTATTCATTTTATCAACCGTAATTAGAACTATCAGTATAGAATTGTGGAGGTCGTCGAATTTTTTTAGAATCACAAACTGATCTGAATCAGATACACATTGAAAGCTTGAAAACATTGAACGTCCGTTCTGTTCTAGTGAGAGACTTCTCAGCAGTACATACCCATAACTCTAAAGCCGGGAATCAAACTCTGGACCACTAGACTCGGTCTTACTGAGATGTTTCATACCAGAACGAAACTAGTTTGCAATGTTTTCAAGATTTCAATAGTCAATACACTTGGATTGTCATTAATCTTTGTGTAGTAAACAGAACACAGGTGGGGACAATCGGATGTGATCTCACGGAAATCTGATAACCGTATGGTAAACAGTTAATTTGCAAACTATCAATCCATTGTCTCAATCTTGATCATTCCTTCTTCAAATATCAGTCCATCTTCTATGATTTCATTGTTCATGCATTGTCATATCGATTGCACTTCGTTCTTGTTCTTTCCTTCTCGATCTTCTGTCAAAATACATTCTGTGCCTATCTATCATGATATACTACTTATGTGGATATAAATAACCTACACCTTATTAGTATTCTTGTACTTTATTATATCATGGTCTTTCTTGTTTATTACGTTTGTCAATAGATTGAACCTTTACGAATCTGAACTACTAGTGAATAGAATAATTTATTTGACCACATGAATATTGGTACAAGGAGACACCAGAAATATATGCGCCACACAAATCTCATTTGATTTGTGTAAGGATTGTGATAGTGACCAGGTGACCAAACCGTAGCAGGTAGTTTTTTTATAGGGCCACCCAGAGCCTTTGACCTTAAGATCTGATACACAAGGCAGTGGAGCATTGTGAGGAGATGCAGTCTCACAGTAGCCGGTGACCAACGATTGATTCATACGCCATTTTTTCCCTCAGGATATTGGAGTCCATGTGCATCATTAGTTTGAAGTTAGGGTATTCAATTCCCCTAGGTGGACTCTCCCTATCTACCAACCGGGTTAAAGTGCCGGACATTCGCTTTTCGTCGTCTCAATTTCTTAAACAACACCCGTTGTTCGAGAAAGCAGTGAGTAGGACTTCCCTGACAGAGGCTATATAGGCGTGGTCATATGAGAGCATTTGAAGAAGAAGAGTGGACTCTCCCCAATCTCGACCGTACCAGGACATTTGGAGGCAATATGAAATGAACTCATTTCATCGCCTGTAATGTTCGTCAGTTATCATTTTCCACTGATTTTTTTCATTTTACATATGCCAGTATACAGTCCAAAAACATCTTTAGATTCATTGATGGTCTAATGGTAGTTAACTGATGCCACTAGGAATCAGTTACAAGTTAGATAGACTAAACACGACATTTGCCATTGTGATAAAAAGTAATCTATATTTAAAGTTATTGACGTAAAATAAATTTGATGAAGACGCTAGATAAACTTTGTCACTATCGTCAACTTGAAATGGAAATGTGTTTATAAGTGGAGATGGACGGTGCCTAGCAGCGGAATCCAGGACGAGTGACACTTAGTCCTATTTGGTACTCGTCAGATAAATGTACCCACATCACAGAGTTGATGTTCACTCTAAGACTCGAAACCAGTACCGTTCGCTTCGAACGCTATCACGACCCAAAAGAGATGAAACGCGCGTCCTAGATTCCACTGTTGGCCACTATCTATCTTTACTTATAAAAGCTTGTGACTTTATGCAATATCAAGGCATTCCGCACATCGATAGCATTCGATATGCACTAAGAAGGACTGGACACACTTGACATTGGTCACCGCCCAGTGATCAACCAATTGTGATTACATCTCAGTCCTACAGGAGGTTGTTCGCGATCCGGATAGTTCAATGGTAACGTCTCTGATTGTGAAGCTGATGGACACAGAATCGAGTTCATCAGGGGGCACCACTTTCCTCAAGATTACAGGTGCACCTTGCTGACGAGTGCCATGTGGCACGAAACCTGAGTCCAAGGTTTCCTTTCGACCACCTTCAACCACCATCATATCTCCGCATCTCAGAATCAATGTTCACTCTAAGACTCCAACTGAGTACCGTTCGCTTCAAACGTCATCGTTTTATCCCCTTATTCATTGAATCTTGATTGCTACTTGCTTGTGCAATGGGGTGAAGTTATATTCATTTGGTGTCGTTTACTTTTTATTTAGGACTGCAATTGATTAGTCTCTTATTGGAATATGCACATCTTGTACGGATTGCCTCAATATTGCCTTAAGTCAAAAGCATACAGGATGAACATACATTAATAAACAATTCATCTATCATAGACTTAAACATCGATGAGAAGATCTAAACAACTAATATAAAATAATCAGAAGGTTTTTTTTTGGAGATTTTAGTAATTTTATATAGTTGAAATCATGAGTAAATTGAAGTTAGACCACTATAGAAAACCTGGAAGCACTGGACAACCGTTTCATCCTATTGTGGGATTCCTTATTAATGCGCATTAATACCGTTAAATGCCAGCTCAGTAGTCTATCGGTTAAGTGTTCTGGCGCAAGACTGCTAAGTCCTGGGTTCGAATCTCGCGAGACGGTATCGTGGATGTACACTACCATCCAGTGCTTCTAGGTTTTCCATGATATATGTTTTTTTTCTCTACTTCATCATATAGTTAGACAGTTTATAAATGATATAAAACTTATTACAGGATTACAAATGTCGAATGAGATTACAATAGGGATACATACAAACAAAAACATATACACATACATTTATAAATGAAACAAAACTCTTCGCAGTAGGTTTCACTGAAAAAAAATAATGGTCATTTTAAATAAATAAAAAAGAAATTAACTTACTAACCCCCTACTGAGATAGATTGTTTAATTTAATAAATCAGTATGGGGGGGGTAGGGTGGTAGGGGGTGGGGTAATTGGGGAGGTTGTAGATATTGTAATGAATTCAATTCAATCGTTTAAATCATACGTTTCTCTAAGATAGATTGTTACCATTGAAAACATTGGAAGTATTGAATGGTCATTTTGGTCCTAGTATGAATTTAACTATAAAAAAAAAATAAAACAATTCTGACATTGAAATGATACAATAATCATGATATGTAAACAATTCTATCATTTCCAAGTATTCATTTGTATAAAAATAGATATTTTTTAAAAGTTATATATATGAAAAGATGGATAGGGTCTGGCTGTGGTATCTAAGATGAACGGAACTTTGTCCTATTTGAAATTCGTCAGTTAGCCAATATCTAGGCCGATAGCTTGTGTGTACGAATCTCGCGAAGTGAGATCGTTGATACTCACTGCTGACGAGTCCCACAAAAAGGATGAATCGGCGGTTCATTGCTTTCAGCTTTTCCATGATGGTCTAGCTTCTATTGACTCATGATCTCAATTGTTGAAATTACCATGATATCTACAAAAACCTCTTTTAATATTATTCAACATATGCTCACTAGTGACTGACTTCAAGAGGTATTTCCTACAATTCTAGTGAGAAACAGTGACCAGTGGAATTCAACCAGGTCTGTTGTAAGATAGTAACTCACTAAAGACATCGATGGATATGTAGCTCAATTTCGCGGATTGGTTGGAGTTAGACATTAACACCGTTGGATGTCGGCAAGTTCAGTGGTGTAGTGGTTAAACGCTCTCATGCGAGACTGGTAGGTCCTGGGTTCAAATCTCGCGAGGTGAGATCGTCGATACGCACTGCTGAAGAGTCCCACAATAGGACGTGACGGCCGTTTAGTGCTTTCAGGTTTCCCATGACGGTCTAGCTTCAATTGACCCATAATCCCAAATATTAAAAATAATTTTGATAAACTTATCCACTACTAATTATCTTTCATTTTTCCCATTTTTTTTTACCTTTTTTTTGGTTTCTTTCAGCTGTAACATGTGTACCCTGTGAACAAGCAATTACTTTAGAAAATATTGCTAGTAGTTATTGTATGGCTGATGTAGGTGAGTATGGATTGATTATTTTCTATATGTACTATGAAGATTCAATATGAGTTTAATACTTGTTTACCTTCATATATTGATATGATTGAGATGTGTGGGGGAAGGAAGTGCTAGAAACTATGTAGTCTTATATAATTGTTGAAAGCGTGAGTCAATTGAAGCTAGACTACCATGGAAAACCTGGAAGCACTGGATGGCCGCATCGTCCGATTGTGGGATTCATCAGTAGTGCGCATCCACGATCCCGTACTAAATCTCCACGAAAGCCGTTCTGATAATTTACATAATTGTGTTATTCCATTTTAAAGCCCATATGAAATTCATTAATATGATAATTTCATATGATTATAGACTAGTCAACTATATACACTTGTATACTATTTATAGAGTCTCTTTTCATATATGGACCCGTTACTTATCACTGAAAACGTTAATAATTAACTGTGTTATAAGTAGAATGGAGGTTTGTGGAGATTATAGTGATTTTAATAGTTGAATTCATGAGTTGATGTAAGCCAGACCATCATTGAAAACCTGGGTGTACTGGAAGGCCATTACATCCTAGTATGTAACTCCTCAATAGTGCACATTCACGATCCTTCGTCTGGGACTCGAACCCAGCGCCTTCAGTCTCGCATGTGAACACTTAACCTTTGAACCATTGAACTTGTTAACATTTAACGATGTTATTATTTTTTTTCAATCGCTCCATGATGTTTCTTAACCATTCATCCATTGTCTAAGGTAGATACCTGAGTTACAATTGACAGATCCTGTAAGACTGACATTAATTGTATTCGAAATAATCTTAATCAAATACTATTTCGAAAGCTTTTATTCTAAATTATCCAACTACCTATGGTAAATGAATGCTTAGAAACAGTATACAACATCAATCTCGTTTTAGAATTGAGATTAACTATTTTCTTAATTCTTTAACCACTTAGAGATCGGGGATTTATGGAGTTTGGAATAACTTTAACAATTGAATTAATGAGTCGATCTAAGCTAGAGCACCATTGAAAACCTGGAAGCATTGAACGGTTGTGTCATCCCAGTTGGATGCCGGATCAGGGATCTGGCGGTTAAGTGTTCGCACACGAGACTGAAAGTCTTGGGTTCGAGTCTCTTTAATGTAGGATCGTCAATGTATACTTCTGAGGAGTCTCATACTGAGATCAAACAGCCATTCAATGCTAACACGTTTTCATTGATAATCTAGATTAGATCAAATCATGAACTCGATTATTTAAACAATTCAAATAATGTTCGCAAGTGAAAATCATAAAGTTAAATTATTAAACCAAGATTTATGTAAACTGTGTGAATTATAACATTTTCCAGTTGACTAATCTCGAATTATGTTTAATAAACTACTTTGGATAAGCTGACTATTATGATAGAGCTGGATGGTTTGATTGTGGAGCTTCCATCGTTCTTCTGAATGACATCATCAGCATAAACTTCGAATAGAACTGACTATTAATTTTGACTTGTTCAAATACACTCTGATGTCAATAGTAAGTAAACATTAGTGAACAAGAACATAAGTGGGGACAATCGAATGTATTTGATCCTAAAATATTTTAGTTAAATCTGAGAACAATACAGTAAAGTACTTCATTTGCAAAATGTCAGTCAATTGTGTCAGACTTCATTGTTCCTACGTTTCCACACCAATCACTTTCTGTTCTCATTCTCTTCACTTCGATTTTCTCTACGTTCAGTTACTAGGCGTTTCACTTTTGATTGATGATACATACTACTTATATCTATCGACATCAGTAGAACACATCACAATAATGTTCATAAAATAAACGACAAGCTTTATTAAGAGTTCAAAATACTGACTAGGGGAAGACATGATACAAGTATTGTGATTCAGTAGCTTATTAGGTCAAACTTAAGGCTTTAAATCCATTAAAACTCACTTAGTATTGTTTGTTTGAATCTTCCCATTGATGTTTTCGGACCGCAACTGGTCAGTCTCTAATTGGCATATGTGCATATTGTGCGTATTGCCTCGATATAGCCTCGTTTCACAAAGATGGTAAGCAAAGATGGATAGTGGCTGGCAGTTGAATCTTATTTGGGACTCGTCAGACAAATGTACCTGCATCTCAGAGTAGATGTTCATTCTGGGACTCGAACGCAGTATATTTCGATTCAAACGCCATCGCGTTATCCACTTGGCCACTGAGTCCTGATAGCCACTTGCTCGTGCAATGGGATGAAGTTTAAATTCACTTAGTATTGTTTGTTTGAGTCTTCTCATTGGTTTTAGGACCGCAACTGGTCAGTCTCTAATTGGCATATGTACATACTGTGCGTAATACCTCGATATAGCCTTATTTCACAAGAATGGTAAGCAAAGATGGATAGTAGCTAGCAGTAGAACCCAGTTTGACGCGCGTTTCGTCCTATTTGGGACTCATCAGCCTGATGTACCTGCATCTCAGAGTTAATGTTCTTTCTGGGATCTATACCAAGTAATGTCATAATATTGTAAATACTATCATACTTACTTTCCCTAACCTTGATTCAATAGTTACTTAACATTAAAGATGATCAGAATGTATGGAACATTGACATAGATCGTATGTAACATCTATGTATAAACATAAATGAGTGAACTTGGCTTAATATATCATTCGGGAAAATCATTATATTCTATTAAATGTCAAACAAATTAAAGGTGCATTGCTAAGTAATCTAAACTTTAATTATGATCATTACTGAATATTATGTTACTATGATTTAAACAAGTATATGGAGGCACCAAATAGATATGCGCCACACAATAACGATGAGGTTAGTAGCAGTTATCATTGATTTGTGTGAGAGTTGTGATATTGACCAGGTGATCAGATCAAAGCAGGTGGTTTCTTTAGGGAGCCGCACTCAGAGACTTCTACCTGAAGGTCTAATCCACAAGACAGTGAGACAATTTAAGGAGATTCAGTCTCATGATAGCCGGTGACTAACAGTTAGTTCATACTTCATTCGATTCATTAAGATCCTGAAACTTAAATGCACCATTGATTTGGAATGAGGGTTTTTCAACTCCACTAGGTGGACACTCCTTATCCACCAACCCGGCTAATGTGTCAGACATTTGTTTTTCGTCTACCGAATTTCGTAACCAACAACCGTGCCGTGAGAAAGCGAAGAGTAGGTCATCTCTGTCAGTGGTTGTGTAAACGTAGCCATGTGAGAGCATTTGAAGAAGGAGAGCTGACTATCCCCACTCTTAGCCGTACGAAGACATTCCAAATGAAAATTCATTTATTATTAAGATATACTAGTCTGTAGTGATGATATTAATCGAATTCAATCATTAGCTTGTAGGGACTTTCATTAATATACACTTCCTTATATATGTGAACTTCTTGTGTTGAGTTCCCCTTTGAGAACTTTGAATGTTGCATTACCGCCATTAGGTTGATGAATTTAACAGTTTAAGCAAACTATTTGATTTACAATCTAGTTTTAAATGTCTATCAATCAAACAAATACATCAGTAATGTACTTGGGTAAATTGTTTGTTATAATATACTTCACTTTACAAAGTATCATGTTATTCAAAGATCAATCTAGGCAAGAACCTTTTAAAGCTTCCAGACATTGATTGTAAATTCATTCATTCAGTCAGTCAGTCAGTCAGCTACAACGTAGGACTAGGCACATATAAGCATCGGTCCAAGTTGCCATACCTCGTTAACACAACAAGATGAACATCGGATTCATAGAAATAGTTCATTTAGTGGTGGTAATATATAAAAGAAAGGTTGTATGTAAGGATATAGTATAGGAAGGAAGATAGATATGAAGCAATTTTAATCTTGCGGTTTAAGGGAAGATGAAGAGTGTAAACATCTACGACATTGTGATCGATTCTGAGCCATGTCACCTAGAGTCTTCAACCATTGGTTACGATAGTCACGCGGACACCAAACAAGTATTCTTCATCTACCAGCATGGCTCAGATTAGAGGTTAGTGACTTCAAGCTCTGATGCCCTAACTTTCTTCCAGCCATCCCCAATACTAGTCAGCATAGAGTGTCGTGTTAATCGGTGTTCAGGCATACGTAAACTAATTGCACTTGTCAAGTGAAAGAAGAGTTTATGTGAACCTATGAGACTATCTTGTTAGAGTTCATTGTATTGATATAGATATATACCATGAAGATCCTCATGGACATTTGGATTGAAGTATAATTCAGAAGGGGTTTTGTGGATATTTCGGTATTTTCATAATTGAAATCAAGAGTCAATTGAAGCTAGACCATCATGGAAAACCTGGAAGCACTTGACGGCCATCTCATCCTATTGTGGGACTCCTCAGAAGGGCTCGGGCTTGAGACTGATAGGTCCTGGGTTCGAATTTGGCGAGTGTGGGATCGTGGATGCAACTGTGCAACTTGACTATTTGATCTTAATGACTACTAAACGTCATAGGTCGATTTTAGTGATTATTTATAGAATGAATGACACCACTGAGTTTCAACTCATCTGTTGAATAATACTTGTCTCCACTCAACATTTCGGGGTCTTCCATTAGTGGTCAGTTGTTGTGGGGTTCTTAAAGTCGAACAATACGGCTACTTAGTGTTCCATAATGTCAATTTATGGGTGGATGATATCAAAGTATGAGCATACCATATGAAGAGAACTATGCGAAGCCATGGATAATTGAACAATTACAACTCCCTACTTCAGGACATTTTAGTAATATTTTTAATAGTTGAGATGATGAACCCATTTAAGCTAGTCCCTCATGGAAAACCTGGAAGCATGGGACAGTCGTTTCGTCCTATTTTGGGACTCCTCAGCAGTGCACATCCACGATTCCGCCTCACTAGATTCCAACCCAGGAACTATCAGTCTCGCGCGTGAACGCTTAACCCCTAGAACACTGATCTGGCCAGCATCCACCGGTGTTAATGTCTTACTTCAACCGATCCACGAAATTGAGCAACACATCAATCGATTTCTTCAGTAAGTTACTATCTCACAACAGACCTGGTTGAACTCTACTGGTCACTGTTTCTCACTAGAATTGTAGGAAATACCTCTTGAAGTCAGTCACTAGTGAGCATATGTTGAATAATATCAGAAGGAATTTTATGGATATTATAGTAATTTTAATAGTTAAGATCATGAATCAATACCCAACCACTACCATACACTGGATTATACACAAGGTCAAACCTATCTTGTGGAAACATTGAAACCTCTAAGATAATAAGTTTATCATTTAATTCTTTATTGATCAATTCATAAACTAGGAACACTTAGATCCAATTCAGTCACTATCTAACTTATCACTCTATTGAATAATTGAAATAATTTTTTTTCTGATTAGCGTTTTTTTTTTAGCCAGTTAACTTTTCTACGAGATGAGATCGCTAACTCCATGCCCAACCCTCCTCTTTTACCCGTGCTTGGGATCGGCAGTAGATCCTAGACGAGCTACAGGTGGAGTTTATCACTCTATTGAACCAATACATATTATATTCAAATTAACACTTGATGAAGCAATTATACCGATATTGATCTTATTTATTTATTTTTTTCCCTCTTCTATTTAGTTCTTAAAGCTTCTATAAAAGATATGATCTTACAATCAAATCAAGCATCAATTATATTCAATTTAACACCTCGTACTTTAGCATTAAAACTTATACGTAATGATGGTACACAATTAAGTAGTATTGATCAATATCGTCGAAAACGTAATAGTCGTAAAAGACGTAATCATCAATTCAATAATAATAATAATAATAATCAAAATGATCAAGTCTATCAATTAAGAACAATTAGAGATTTGAAAAATTCCAAATATAAATATATTAATAATCAATATCAATCAAATTATATCAATAAATCAAAATTAATCAATATCGATGAAGGTAATCATTGGAAATCAGAATATAAATTGAAGATGAAACGACATCGTAAACCAAGAAATTCTCAATTACATGATTTAGATGGTATAACAGAATTAATTTTAAGTTGTTCATCATGTAATCCATTATTACCATTTACAAATGGACGTTTAATATCTACTCTACCTAATCAAAAATGGCTTATTATGGGTAGACGTATACAAAATTTAAATACAAAAAAATATACTAATCAATTACAAGTAAGTGAATTATTTAAATTATGATAATTATTTACTTACTTACACCTGTTACCCCTTGTGGAGGAGCATAGGCCGCTTACCAGCATTTTCCATCCAACTCTGTACTGAGCCTTCCTTTCCAGTTCTTTCCAGTTACTATTCAGCCTTTTCATATAGGCTTCTATTTCTCGGCGTAGTGTGTTCTTTGGCCTTCCTCTTTTCAGCTTTCCTTCCGGATTCCAAGTTAGGGATTGAGTTGTGATGCACATTGGTGATTTCCTTAATGTATGTCCGATCCACTTCCAAAGTCTTTTCCTAATTTCCTCTTCAGCTGGAAGCTGGTTTGTCCTCTCCAATAAAACACTGTTGCTGATAGCATAATAGTATCCGGCCAGTGGATGTTGAGTATTTTGCGTAGACAACTGTTTATAATACTAGTTCTCCACGTTTGAGCTTCATACAGTAGGACTGTCTTCACGTTCGTATTAAAGATTCTGACCTTGAAATTGGTTGAGAGTTGTTTTGAGTTCCATATGTTCTTCAATTGTAGAAATGCTACCCTTGTTTTGCCAATCCTCGCCTTTACATCTGCATCAGATCCTCCTTGTTTATCAACGATGCTCCCCAGGTACTTGAATGTTTCCACCTCTTCCAGAGTTTCGCCATCAAGTGTGATTGGGTTGGTGTTCTCCGTGTTGCATTTGAGAATCTTGCTTTTTCCTTTGTGAATGTGGAGACCTATCGATGCGGAGGCTGCGGCTACATTTGCTGTCTTCATCTGCATTTGGTCGTGTGTATGAGAGAGGAGGGCTAGGTCATCCGCGAAGTCCAAATCATCTAATTGATTCTGAGCTGTCCATTGTATTCCGTATTTCGCTCCAGATGTCGAATTCTTCATAATCCTGTCAATCACTAGAAGGAAGAGAAATGGGGAGAGTAGATAGCCTTGTCTGACTCCGGTCCTTACTGGAAATGCATCTGTCAGCTGACCTCCATGACATCCATGACCTCCATGCATATACCAATAAGAGACTGATCAATTGTAACTAGTCGTCAAATTCTTTGGTATGATCGAGAGTAAAGAGAATCTGTTGTCCTTCTCGAAATACTCTAACATAGTTACCCTTTCAGGGAAGTTCTACTTACTGTCCTCTTACACCATGGGAGCTGTTTAACGAATACCAGAGGATAAAAAGCAAATATCCAGCGATTTAATCCAGTTGGTGGATACGGAAAGTTCAACTATGGGAATTGGAAAACCCTGATTATAAGCTAATGGTGCACATGAATTCCAGTATCCTGAGGGAATAAATGGCTTATTAATCAATCGTTGGTCACCTAGTATCATGGGACTGGATCTTCTGACGATGCTCCATTGCCTTGTGGATTAGAACTCTAAGTCAAAGGCTCGGGGTTTGGTCTCCTAATAAAACCGCCTGCTTCGAATTGGGCACCCGGGTAGTATCACAGTGGTTAGTCTCTTTTTGTAAGAATGAAAGCCTTTTTTTGAAGGATTCTTTTGCCACTGAAATCACTTTTATGATCCGATTCTATGCAATGTAATATTATTGCTCGAATTCTCCTTCATCATCTGAGTATTTAGGAAAGTGCTTTAAGAATAGTTTGTATTCTTTCACTCTTACATTCAGTTGTCTTGATGTTACAACTACATATATGGCATTACAGTCACTACACTTGATTTCATAAACATAATTTTACTATCTATACTTGGATATTGAATCTTTGATTCTTACCAGTTTGGATCTTAGAGTATTGTAATTTTTGAAAGAATTCTTCTGTACCTTGAAGATTTATGATCCTTCTGACATCTTTTGAAATCGGTCGCGGGATTCTTCACAAAACCCCTTGGGATAATGATCATATGCTTACTAATGACTGGCTCCATGAGGTAATTCCTGGAGTTCTAGTGAGAAGTCTTGGTCAGTGGAGCTAATCCATATCAAGTAGAGACAGGTATCTATCTCAGTACAATGGAAGTTGGTCGCGCAATTTCATGGATTGATCGAGGTTACACATTAACACCACTGGGATTCCTGCCGGATCAGTGGTCTATCGGTTAAGTGCTTTGGTTCGAGATTTGTAGGTCCTGGGTTTCAATCCCGCGAGGTGAGATCATGTATGCGCACTGCTGAAGAGTCCCTCAACAATAGGTTTTCCATGGTGGTCTAACTTTCATTGACTCATGATCTGAACTATATAAAATTATTACTCAAATATCTAATATCTTACTCTATAAATCAAAAGTATAGTCATAAATATCATCCATAAAAAGTGCCGATTCTAAGAGTTACAGTTACGTTTACTTGTGTAGATAAAACTAACTGAAGTCTTTTCTTTAACTTGTTCTGATTAAATATCAACGGTTTAAAAGATTTTAGGAGTGATTTAAATGTTAGACCAGACAATGGATTATAGCTGCATTGTGCTGTGAATTCATGAAAGTTGAAATATGAACCTTTGAGATTGAATTTGATGACTTTGAGTTTATCATAATCTTCACTATAAATTAAAACTTTCTAATGGATGCTTAAGTATCCACTGTTAAAGAATAGAAAGAAGCAAATATCGACATCAAATTTAAAATTATTGTCTTGATTTACTTGTTATTCTTTACTTGTATCTTCTCATTATTATTTTGAACTACAATTGATCAGTATCTTGTGGGTATATGTGCATCCTGGGAGGACTGTTTCAATATTGACTGATGTCACAAACATTATAAACAAAGATAGATAGTGACTAGCAGTGGAACCCCACAATGCGCGTTTCATCCTATTTGGGACTTGTCAGCTGGATGTTAATGTTTACTCTGGGATTACTTAAAAAGTTTATATTGGCTTCGAGAACAGTTAATTCTAGGTTCAGTATTATGTTAGTGAGATTTATTCATTGTTGTATAGTTTCATAACAAGACAAAACAACCATTCAATACCTTTTGGGGGGTTTCCTAGAGTTCATATGATATTAATTATTGATGAATACAATCTATATAAAATCACTTATACAAACTTAGATTGAAATGTTTCACTACTTTATTAGTTGATTACAAATAATAGAGTGAACATTAACTCTGAAATGCAGGTACATTCAACTGATGTGCCCCTAATACGATGAAACGCGCGTCCTCCATTTCACTACTAGCCACTATTCATCTTTTACTGATAAGGCTTATGACTTCAAACAATATCTAGGCAATCCGAACAAGATTCACCATTGCAGTCCTAAATAACAATGAGAAGATACAAGTATACAATACCAAGTGATAAGATAAAAAAAAACCCGCTCCCGCGAGCGAGATTCGAACCGTGGACCTACCAGTTAAGAGCCGAAGCCCTTAACCCATAGACCGCTGAGCTGGAATCCAACGGTGTTAATGTCTAACTTCAACCAATCTACGATATTGAGCGACCGTTCACCAATTGTCTTCAGTGAGATGATATCTCTACAACAGACCTGGTAGAACTCCACTGGCCACTGCTTCCCACTAGAACTCAAGGAAATATCTCTTGAAGTCAGTCACTAGTGAGCATATGTTTATAGATCAGAGGTGGTTTTGTGGAGAATTTAGTATTTTCACAGTTGAAATCATGAGTCAATTGAAGCTAGACCACCATCGAAAACCTGGAAGCACTGGACGGCCGTTTCGTCCTATTATGGGACTCCTCAGCAGTGCGCATCCTCGAACCCGTTCTCGCGAGCGACATTCGAACCCAGGACCTACCAGTCTCGAGCCGAAGCCCTTAACCGATAGACCACTGAGCTGGCATCCAACGGTGTTAATGTCTAACTTCAACCAATCCACGATATTGAGCGACCGTTCACCAATTGTCTTCAGTGAGATGATATCTCTACAACAGACCTGGTAGAACTCCACTGGCCACTGCTTCCCACTAGAACTCAAGGAAATATCTCTTGAAATCAGTCACTAGTGAGCATATGATTATAGATCAGAGGGGGTTTTGTGGAGAATTTAGTATTTTCACAGTTGAAATCATGAGTCAATTGAAGCTAGACCACCATCGAAAACTTGGAAGCACTGGACGGCCGTTTCGTCCTATTATGGGACTCCTCCTCCAGGTTTTCGATGGTGGTCTAACTTCAATTGACTCATGATTTCAACTGTGAAAATACTAAATTCTCCACAAAACCCCCTCTGATCCATATGATATAAGACAATATCAAGTCTATCCGCACATAAAATGTTCATATTGCCAATAATAGACTGATCCATTCTAGTCCTAACATAACAATCAGAAGATATGTGCAACACAATGTCAAGTAAATTGTCACTTTATTTTTTTCAAAACTTTTCAGTTTCCTACTGTGATTTAACAGTGTTTCAAGTTACTTTATCACTCACCACAGGGATTCATTTAACATCAAAATGTTTAAAGTTTCTATTTAAAGTATAAATGATTGTATAACGAATATATTTCATATGAGGATTAGAAAGAGGTTTTTTTTGGAGATTATAGAAATATTAATAGTTGAATTCATGAGTCATTTAACGTTACACTACTATGAAAAACTTGAAAGTACTGGACGGTCGTTTCGTCTTATTATGGAACTTCTCAGCAGTGCGCATTCACCATCCCGCACTCGCGAGATTTGAACCCAGGACATATCAGCCTCGAGCCAGAGCCCCTAACCGATAGACCGCTGATAGGTCCTGGATTAGAATCTCGCGAGTGCGGGATAGTGGATGCGCATTGCTAAAGAGTCCTATAATGGGACAAAACGGCCAGGTTTTCGATGGTGGTTCAGCTTCAACTGACTCATAATTTCAACTGTGAAAAAAAATATATTTCTTTAAAGTATGAATGATTGCATAACGAATTTATCTCGCGTTATGATTAGAGAGGGGTTGAATTCATTAGTCATTTAACGCTAGACTACTATAGAAATTTTGAAAGTAGTAGACGATCGTTTCGTCCTAGTATGGGACTCCTCAACAGTGCGCATCTATGATCCTACACTGTGGGATTCGAACCTAGATCTCATGAGCGAACGTTTAACCTCTAGACCATTGAACTTGCTGACATTCAACAGTGTTAATGTTTAAATGCAACTAATACATGAAATTGAGCCACCATTATGAACATGTATAAAATGATTCAGTTATTAATAAATGAAAGCAATAACTTTGCTCAGTGGATTTCAATGATTCTCAGTTAAAATCAATCAGTTATCTTTATAAAATCTATTAAAATGAGTGATTATTAGGACTGTAATTTAGCAGTCTCTTAATGGCAAATGTGCATACTGTGCACATTGCCTCAATGTTACCTTAATTCACAAGCATTATAAGCAAAGATGGATAGTGCCTAGTAGTGAAATACAGGACGCACGTCACTTCTTCCTATTTGCCATTTGTCAGCTGGTTGTACCTGCATCCCAGAGTTGATGTTTATTCTGGGACTCGAACCCAGTACTGTTTGCTTCAAACACCATCACATTATCCACTTAGCTACTGAGTCCAGATAGCCACTTGCTTGTGCAATGGGTGAAGTTTAAATCCACTGTCTATTGTTTACTTGAATCTTCCTATTGACGTTTAGGACTGAAATTAATCAGTCTCTTATTGGTATATGTGCATGCTATGCGTACTACCTTGTTAATGTCTTAATTCACAATCATTATAAGCAAAGATTCAAGTAAACAATACTTGGTCAATTTAAACTTCATCATATCGCATAAGCTAGTGGCGATCAGGATTCAATAGCTAAGTGGATAATGTGATGATATTTGAAGGAAATTGTACTGGTTTAGAGTCGTAGAGTGAACATCATGTCTGAGATCAAGGTATATTTATAGTTAAGATCGTGAGTCAATTGAGCCTAGACCACCATCGAAAACCTGGAAGCACTGGACGGCCGTTTCGTCCTATTATGGGACTCCTCAGCAGTGCGCATCCACGAACCCGCTCTCGCGAGATTCGAACCCAGGACCTACCAGTCTCGAGCCGGAGCCCTTAACCGATAGACCACTGAGCTGGCATCCAACGGTGTTAATGTCTAACCTCAACCAATCCAAGAAATTGCGCAACCAACTTCCAATGTACTGAGGTAGATACCTGTCTCTACCTGACATGGATTAGCTCCACTGGCCACGACTTCTCACTAGAACTCCAGGAATTACCTCATGGAGCCAGTCACTAGTGAGCATATGATCATTATCACAAGGGGGGTTTTTGTGGAGATTTAGTAATTTTATAGTTAAGATCATGAGTCTCAATTGACTCATGATCTTAACTATAAAATTACTAAATCTCCACAAAAACCCCCCTTGTGATAAGGTATATTTATCTGACGAGTCCAACATACGTCGAAGTGATGTGCGTCCTAGATTCTACTGCGAGTTATTATTCATATTTACTTATAGACTAGGGATAGTTTCCATTAAGAAATGAAATAATTTGTAATTTTTTTTCTTGTTAGCGTTTTTTTAACGAGTTGGTTTTCTACGGGATAGGGTCGCTAACCCCATGCCCAATCCTCCTCTTTTACCTGGGCTTAGGATCGTCAGTAGCCCCCCCAGAGGAGCTACTACCTTTAACCTCTATTTAAGTTTCTAATCATAAGTCATACAACGATTGAACTCTTCTATTGACAAAGAGCCTCAAAAGATTAATCCAATAACAAATAAAGTTGGATAGTGTCTAGTAGTGATACACAGGACGCGTGTTTCGTCCTATTTAGGACTCGTCAGCTGGAGAGATTCAAATAAACAATATCAGATCAATTTGAACTTCATTTCATTGCACAAGTTAGTGGCTTTCAAGACTCAGTAGTTAAATTGATAACGTGATGGTGTTTGAAAGGAACGATACTGGTACTGGAACATGGATGTGACGAGTGTCAAATAAGATAAAACGCATATCCTTAATTCCACTGCTAGTCACTATCCATTTTTACTTATAATGCTTATGAATGAATGCAATATCGAGGCAATTCTTACAGGATACATATATACCAATAAGAGAAACTGATTAATATCAGTCAATGGGAAGATTCAAGTAAAACACTATCTACCATCATAATCTGTCAAAACTTATAATCGATCTACTTTTTGGTATATTTAAATGATCTGCATTATTATTTACATTAGAACAAACATAGATACATATATACACATAGGTTCTTTATGAAATAGTTTCTATGATAAATGCTTTTTTTTATTACATTTTTTTCTAATTCAAAAGGGGGATGAAAATGTCACTATGTATGTAAGTATCTATGTATGTGTGTGTGTGTGTGTGTGTGGAGTCAGGGGTAAAGGCGGTGAATAGACGGGGGAACAAAAAGGTAGACAAATGTTAGATGACTAGTATAAATTCGAATTATAAAGATAATAGAAAAGGTTATTAAGCCGAATATTGGACTAAAAAACTATAACAACAACAACAACACCAAAAAAAGAGAAACAAAACGATTCACCTGCCAACGATACGCCGATGAATTGAGACCGGGAAGAAGAAGAAGAAGAAGAAGAAGAGGGAAGTTGAAAATGTAAACGGAATGTGTTTATTAATTTGATAAGTAGTAATCTAGTAACTAGTCTAAAAGTATTATGTCATGTTTATATGTTATCTATGTCTGATTAGTTGCTTGCCTGCCTGATTGCCTGCCAGACTGGCCGACCGGCTTCCCACCCGCCCATCTCTCTCTTACTCTTTCTTTCAGAAGTCGATTAGAGTTATTTTTATGATTTCGCAAATGGTAATAGTTCTGATGACGAACATTTTGTAGATTGTTTACATATACCCTTATGAATTCTTAGACAATGATAATATCATTCTAATTCAGTAGTATGAATGATGAAATACCTTATGATTGACTATATACATATATATCAGAAGGGGTTTTGTGTAGATTTCAGTATTTTCATAGTTGAGATTATGAGTCAATTGAAGCTAGACCACCATGGAAAACCTGGAAGCACTACTTGACGGCCGTTTCGTCCTATTACGAGACTCCTCAGCCGTGAGCATCCACGATCCTGCAGTAGCGAGATTCTTTAATCTCTAGATCACTGACTCAGTATCCACTTGTGTTAATGTCTAACTTCAACCAATCCACGAGATTGCGTGACCATCTACCATTTTCTACAGTGGGTAATTGTCTCACACTCGAAATGGATTAGCTTCATTAGTCACGACTTCCTAGTAGAACTCAGAGAATTCCCTCTTGAAACAAGTAACATATTATGAATTACCAGATTATCGACTAGACAACTCTTTTATCTTGGTGAAATTATTGTGTGCTACTCATATCAACAGATATAAGCAGTATGTGTCATCAAACACAAGTGAAAGGTATAGAAGTAGAAGAAGATCAAAGAAAAGAGAACGAGAACAGAGAGTGATTGATGTGCACTTGAAGGAACAGTCAAGTTTGAGACAATTGATTGAAATTTTGCAAATGATGTATATACTGTATAGATCTCAGAGTTTCCTGAGAGATTCTGTAATTTTGTGTTCAAATATGTTTAGTTGTTTATGGAATTTTGTACTCTGAGCTTGATGGTTCAGTCGTGAAGCTTTCATCGTCCTCAATGGTGTTCTCGTCCTAGTATAGATTGATTGAAGTTAAACACTGTTGAACGTAGGCAAGTTTAGTGTTCTAGAGTTTAAGGGTTCCCATACGAGACTAAAGATCCTGGTCTCAAGTCCGTTTGGTGCGGGACCATGATGCACACTTTTGAATAGTCCCATACTAAGACTAAACGACTGTCCAATACTTCCAGGTTCTCAATGATGATCTAACATTGATCCATTCATGATTTCAATCAAAACTCAACAATCTTCACAACCCTATACTGAAAATTGTAGTGATGCAGTATGATAATCATCCAACTTTAGTTTGAATAATCTTCATAAATTCACCACTGTTTGATAATAGTAACTATTTAATCTACATTAGAAGGGATTTTGTGTGGAAATTTTAGTAATTATATGGTTGAAATCATGAGCCAATTGACCAACATGGAAAACCTGGAAGTACTAGACGGCCGTTTCGTCCTATTGTGGGACTCCTCAATGGTAGTGCCTATCCACGATCTCGCCCCGCGAGATTCGAATCCAAGGTCTCATGATTTCATCTATTCAATTTGTAGTTATAATTAATAATAACTTGTCTATTCTTCATAATTGAATTTATTTTTTCAGGTAACTTTCTTAGGTTTATGGAATCGTGAATCCATTGAATTTCGTCAATCCTTAAATGCTATACGTAAAGAATCTATAACACAATTATGTAATAAAAATCAACCTAGTCTATCTAATCTTGTTCAATCACAAACTATCCAACATCATCATTCTGGTAGACCTTTGAAAATCTTACGTTCAGCTCCATCGGAACTATCTGATTCATTCAATTATTATAATCAAATGAATAAACCATTCAATGTTAACAAACAAATAACTCCTTCATTATCTAATGTCAATGTAAAAACTCAATTAGGTAATTTTAATGATCAACAATCATCATTAATCACAAATTACAATACTACTAATAATCATTATAATAGTAGTAATGGTAATCTAAACACTAATGCCAACTTTAAAATGAATGATATACAAACTACTTATATAAATGAAATTGATCAATTACAAAGACAACAACAACAGCAACAACATCATCAGCAACAACGACAACAAGAGAAAACACACAAAGCCAAATATCGTGAACGTAGAAAAAAGTGGAAATCACAAAGGAATAAAATTTTATCAAAATCCAATTCACAACATCATGATACATCAAATGTATATCATTATCAATCACCAATAAATCCTTATTCAGTTTAAACAATCCTCTACCCTCACCCCCCGCCAACCCCCCCCCCAAGTTTTACATTCTAAGACAATTAAGAATGGTGTATTGAAACTGTTTGTCATTTTCGAAATAATAATTGAATAATTAGACTCTTATATACAGGGTACTCGTAAAGGGTTAATCTTAACTGAATACCCTACAAACAAATTCATATATATAATCCCTTTTTGTTTCTTTAAGTCATTTGTATTATTCTCGTTGATATTCTCATTAATTGTTGAATAATGACTTCATATAATGAGAACATTATATATACAATCATACATACTTACCTATACGGTAGTTTTTTTTTATTGAACATTTATATATAACTCATTTTGAAATAATTTAATTCACAAATATATGAAAAGGATATTTGCCCAAATTGAACAAATTCATTTTGAAAAATTATATTACTTAATTAATGATATCAGTAGTTAAATTGAGTTTATTAAAAAAGAACAGTGAACTAAGGTTACTACCGTCAATTTCTTTTTCTGTTTAGCTACCTCATCATTATCAAACACACACACATACATATATAATTAATTCCTAAAAATAATTGACTATTATTTCATTTGATTTGTTTATCTTCAATTGAACTTTATACGTTTTGACACATACCATATCATTGTAAATTATAACATATAACTAAGTATAAAATGAAGAATATTTTCTAAAGAGTTTTGTTTTTTAGTTCAAGGTGACTATATTGATTTCAAATGACAAGAATTTAGGTATGACAGTGACAGAAGAGATCAGAAGCTTTAAAATGCTTCATTAAAATTGAAATACACCTTCATTGGTACGGAGTTAGAATGTTCACTGTTATAGCTCGTAGTCTTGAGCTATACTTAATGGAGTAGGAAAACCTTCATTCTAAATCAATGGTGCACATAAGCTCCAGTATCTTAAAGGAAAAAAAATTGAGTATGAATTAATCGTTAGTCACTGGCTAACATGAGACTGCATCTCCTTACGTTCCTTTACTGTCTTGTGGATTAGAACTCTAGGTTAAAGGCTCGAGGAGCGGCTCCATAATAAAACCACCTTCTTCGATTTGGTCACTTGGTCTGCATTAAAGCCCTCACATAAATCGAATGATTTATGTTGCGCATATCTATTTGATTTTTTCTTGTACCAGTCTTTGTGTGTTTAAATAAATAAATATGCTATTTTATCGGGTCCTTTATAAATGGAGATATATGAAGCTAAGGGAATGTATATTCCATGCCACCCATGTACATTGTCGGCTTAGATTCCTTTCTATGACCACATCACCTCTTATTATTATTAGAACATCTGGAGAGATTATTCTCCCTCTACATTCCTCTTCAAATGTTAGCTTAGACGTTAAGTGTACTTCACTTAATTACCTAAGAACCTTTAGTGATAATGTACTATGCTTGCAAAGGATGGATGAATAATCCATATATTGACAGTAAAATGTGAACTACTGAATAAACTGCTTAATTGAAACGTTTTCAAGTTTAACTAGCAAAATATTAGCCAACATGAAAATTAACAGTGAACCTATTCCAAATTTGTTCTTTTGTCAATAGATTCCTTTATCGATCATAAAAGCCATACACATAGTTCATTGTAATTGTAGTTTCTATCTCGTTTTCTCCAAGTTGTTCAAACAATCTAAAGACTTCAAGAGTGAGAAGAAAGATATTACGTCTAAAGATACTGTAATCTGTTCTATAGTGTTCTTATTTTTGATCCAGTAAACAAACGTCTTTTCATCCTTACCACTATACCTAAAAGCTGTTCATGGAATGCCTGCCATATATTCATCAACCATGTTTTAAATATTATGCTAAGGCATTGGATTATACATATCTAAAATAGATCACAGTGGAATGCTCGGTTTGTTTACTTTTTGGCAATTTATACAATCTTATATGAAATAGATTTCAGGATCCATTGAAGAATTTTTTTTTAATTGTTAAGTAGTTGAATCTGTTTCTTCTCTGCACACTGTTTTGTATTTTTGGTAACCTAACCCATAAAGAGAAACATTGCAATCCCTATGACGAGAAATAAGAACACAAGAGACTGGTACAAGTGGATGAGTTACTAATCCCTAGACGGTATGATGACTCTAGTAAAAAAATCTCCGCCTATCACATCAAGTTCTTAAATTAGATAGAAGGGATTTTGTGGAGATTTTAGTATTTTCATAGTTGAAATCATGAGTCGATTGAAGCTAGACCACAATGGAAAACCAGGAAACCCTGGACGGCCGTTCCCTAATACTATGGGGCTCCCCATCCACGATCACGTCTCGCGAGATTTAGGACCTTATTGGAATACTTAACATGTGATGCCCAATTTGTTTTGCTTTAAAGTAATTTAATCTAAACTGATATTCTGCCAATAATAACCCCGTAGCTGTTATCTTAGAATAACCCGACCGTTGCTGCTACCTTGACGTGGTGGTCGGGCTTGCCTATCGTGATGAAGCAATCGAGCTATACCGGCTGGAACAATCGTTCCTCGAGGTCCTACCATGCCAGGCAACTCGGTTGAAGAGCGGTAAGACTAAAAGCAGCAATCCCAAGGTCCAAAGGCCAAGTCGTACTGCCGACTGCACAGAGGTGTGACGGTAGTAAGGTGTTTCCTTCAAACAACCAGCATGACAGCGATGCTGCCTTCCCACAAGGAGGGGTGATGTTAGAAATGGTCGACCCTAAAAATGCACACCTCGCCTTATCCCACGGATATCCGTCTCCGGCGGTAAGGTCCTTTGAAGAACGGAGCTAACAAGTGAAAAATCCCCCACAAAAAGGTCGTGCGTGACCGGCCTCAAGCAGTTGTCCCTTGGGCACTGTGGTCACGCTCCCACGTCGTTAAGACCAACACTAATCCGACTTCTTTTTCAGGTCCCTCAAGAAATACCCTTCCACGGTGTGGGCAGCCGGAATGTGATATTAGTCCTCATACCCGTAACAGCACACGAGACCAAGTTGGTCACTTTCAAATCCTTCCTACTCCTAACAACTCTCTTATCTCCACGACTAACCCTTCCCACGTCGTTTTATCACCTCGCACCGCTAGGGCGAATGATTCAAGCACATCCAACGTTATTCCTGGTCTCCTGAAACCACGCTCTAAACTACATATAGGAACTTTTAATGTCCGAACATTGTGCCAAATAGGACAACAGGCTTTGTTGACTTAGAATACGCCGACGACATAGTTTTATTCGGTGAAGACGCTGACAAAATGCAGAGTCTTCTGACCACTATAAGCAACAATACAGGCATGTTCGGGATACGATTCTCCCCCCTCGAAGTGCAAAATGTTACTTCAGGATTGGGTTGCATCGACACTTGAACTAATGATAGGGAGTGAAGTAGTTGAGCGTGTTGACAGCTTCACTTATCTTGGGAGTCTCATCAGCCCTTGTGCTCTGGTGTGTGACGAAATCTCAGCACGGATACAGAAGGCTCGTCTAGCTTTCGCCAACTTGCGCCATTTATGGCATTGGCGAAATATCCGTCTAGTAACAAAAGGACGGGTTTACTGTGCAGCAGTTCGTTCCGTCCTACTTTATGGCAGTGAAACATGGCCGATTAGAGTAGAGGATATTCGTAGGCTACTAGTGTTCTATCATAGGTGTCTTCGACGAATTGCTCGTATATCCTGGGACCACCGAGTAAGTAATGCAGATGTTAGGAAACGGGTACTAGGCAAGGATGGCAAATGGATTGATGAAGTAGTGAAACTTCATCAGTTGAGATAGCTGGGATATGTGTTACGTATGCCCAACCACCGACTGCCCAGACGTGCAATGCTTTATGGTGTTGGAGCAGATTGGAAGAAAGCTAGAGGCGGCCAAACCAAAACATGGCATAAATCCATGAAGTCGCTGACAAGTGGACTGGGTCATGTTGGTAGGTGTAGACTACCTGGTTGGGATTCGCGAGATGATAGCAACCGATGGTTAGAGACCTTGAATGACATAACTCAAAATCGTTTGCAATGGCGAAGGTGCATCCACTCTTTGTGTTCTACCAAATTCTAATCTTCTGAATTCTTCATGTTCATATCCTTTTTCTCTTTCCAAATTTATTTCACCGTATTATACTCCTTCAATAACATCTTCAAACCCTTATCTTTTACATAATACTTATACTCTTACTACCTCTACCAATATGGGATTTGAATTGACAACTTCATCTCTGACGAGTCCCAAATAGGACGAAACGCGCGTCCTGGATTCCACTGCTAACCACTATCCATCTCTGCTTATATAGTTCTTAGATTGTTCTAAGAGAAGGAATTCTTTTGACAGCTACTTCTATGGATCTAAGTTAAGAGTAGATCTTCTCCTTCAATGAGTAACCATTATCAAAAACACATCAATCTAATTATCAATTTATGAACTATTTCACTGAGTAATTATTTAGTACTATATTGAAAATATTATAACAATTTATGATAGAGCATCAATTTCATCATATTTAGTTAACATAGATAAACAGTAATTCGGCAATTTCAATAACATAGATGCAGCTTATTTATCTTTCATATAGTGAGGTTTTTAGAGTTGTCGTTCAGTAACTCTAGAAGAGTTACAGGCGGAGTTGGTAAGCGGCCTATGCTCCTCCACAAGGGATAACAGGCGTAAGTAAGTAAGTTATTATAAGCTTTCTTTCAACCATAAACTATTTTTATACTATATATTCGGCTATATATATGAGAGGATTTCGAGAGGGAGAGCAGACTCTCCCCAATCTCGGTTGACATTAGAATCACTGCACGTATAATCCCCTACCCCCCTTTTTTTGGAAATTAAAGGGTATGAAAAAAATTTAGCAATTGGTGATTGGTGAATTTGTTTTTGAAAGTGTGTGCTCAAGTGCAAATGAACAAACATTTTGTCACCTGTAATAATTTTTTAATTGGCTGTAAATGGTGCAGTTTTGCAATTTGATTCGTTCAAATCGAACTAGAATAAAGTGCTTTCATTGGATGTAAGAATTGACATTTTTCCATTCGATTATTATTTACAATAATTAACTATTTTCGCATTGTTCCGTCTGAGATTTGTAAAAAATTTTAACTTCGAAAAAAACAAAAACAAATCCATTTCATTACCCTGCTATACTCCTGTTAGTGAATGTAATTTCTTTTTATGAAGTACAAATGCAACTAAAGTTATCTGTTATCGTCGTGGCAAGAGTAGTAATAATAATCTGTGGATCATTGAAAGTGAATTTTTGAAAAAAACTGACAGCTGTTACATAATAGTTGATATAATGGTGATTATTGAATTTGCAAAGGGTAGTCTCAAATGTTTAATACACAATTAGTGAACACATTTTGGTTTAAGTATTCCCATAAGTTAATTTAACACATAGTTCGCTCATTTAATAAACGTTATATTCCTGTAAGTATATGAATAAATCATGATAAAGAGAAAGTGAATGGGTCATGCCGAAGTCACGCTAACCGTAAAAGATGGGTAAATGAAGCAACTTTTACGCTGTCTGAAATTAGTAATAATGTCTGAGAAAAAAAGCAAATAATCTTTATAATTCAGTTATTTTGCAAACCGTTATTCTTAATACCAAAAAGTTGATTAGTTTAGCTATGAAAAGGTTTTGAAAATGAACGCAATATCAAGGTTATCAAGATTTTTTGTAAATCCATTCAAAGCATAAAAT